AATATATTTCAACATTATAGGGATAAGTAAAATGTTTTGATATTGAATATTAAATACTGGGCTTGTAAATGTCCATAAGGATCGTGATTAAATATCTTTGAAAAATTAAATTGAAATTTGTTCCATGTACCTACTCATACGTTTGCTTATAGTAATATTAAATATACTCTACTTATACAATATCTACCTATTATTTATTTTTTTTAGAAAAAAATTTGTTTGTCATCATAGTACTTTCCAAAAAGTGTCTAGGGAAGAAAATAAAAAAGGTAATTCTAAAAATGCTAACTGTTCTGCAACTAGAAAATCAGACACTTTTATAAAGGTGAGTATGAGTTTGAGTTTTTTTTTTTATTATAAGTTTGTCAACAAATAAAGTAGCGTTTTTTTTTTTAAGTAAAACTTCTTTTTTGTGCCTTGTGGTCTAGATGAAAAAAAATTGTCACAAAAAATGAAACGCATATATATATATATAAGTATTTTGTGTACGTCAGTTTCTATAGTGATAGTTGTTACAAAAATTTTGTTTAACGGTTTATATATATATATATATATACAATTTTTTTTTTGTATATATATATACATATATATATATATAACGATTACTGATTATGAACATATTTCAATATTTCAGAATACACTATTAGTAAAAAGAAAGCCGAGGAATGTGAATATGGAATTACAAAAAAATCAAAACTAAATCGAGATGAATCTCGACCTTTACCTAAAACAAATGTAATATATATTATATAACCATGTGTTTTTTTTTTTGTATTGATTTTTCTCACTCTCCCTAATTCATGAGCACTAATACTTATGAAAGAAGTTTTACTTCCCAAGAGTGTAACGGTGGTTAACCTCACACACTCTTTATTTTTTTAAGTGTAAAGATTTTGTTAATTAGTGTAATCTGTTATGTAAAATTAACTAATAACCTAAAGTTTAAAGAGTAAATGCCTGTACCTTTTACTAAGAACTGTAATAAAAAAATTAAGCAACAGATATCTATGGAAACCCTCATATTTTTAAATAACGTCTATAATTTGATTAAATTATAATTTTTTTTATAGGTAGTATAAATTATAAAATAATACAACATTTATCTGTAAATATATTTATTTTTTATTTTATAAAGTTAATTTTTAGATTCTGAGCGGAGCAATGAATGTGTTGACTTACAATGTGTGGGTATTTTTTTTTGAATATGGAAATCGAAGCACTCCTTCTTGTTTACAGAATAAAAAAAAATAAAAAAATAAACATCATTGTAAAACTACTAGCTTCATCTCACCGCTCAGAATCTAAAATATTTAAGTATGTAATAAATTTGCTTAATAGTTTATAAAAATCACAAATTTTAAAATAATTTATTTTCTAGAATGGACTTCGTGGAATTATAACTATAAATAATAAACACACACATAGTTTAGATACTGCTGAAACTTTAAGATTTATACCAGCAGACTTAAAATTAAAAAATACATTTTTTGAGGACTTCAGTTCCAATATGGGAATTTCTGAAGCTCTTAAGTATCATGAGGATATTTTGGAGTTAAAAGATAATTTTTCATTGGAAGACTTAGCAAATGGAGCTATTAATCCAACATATAGAACAGTTCAGTATTGGCATGATGAATGGAGAATTAAGAACTTGGGTCCACGTTCTGGAATTGGAATGATTGAAGTAGGTCAAATAGGGTGACTATTATCAATACCTATGCAATAATATATTAATATAATTCATTGTTTTATTCTATTTTGCATTATTATTTCTTAGAAATTAAAAGAAAAATTGAATATATATTCAGAACAAAATGTAATTGTCAAATTTGTTGAAGATCCATTTGCTCTTCTTATTGTTACTCCTCTTATGCAAAGAGCTCATGAATTAAAATCTTCAAGTGGTATAGTATTTTTTGATAGCACTAGTGCATGTGACGCTGAAAACCATTCAATAACCTTTATATTAACTCCATGTGCAGCAGGAGCGGTACCATTAGCAATTATAATTACAAAAGGTAAATAAATTGTACTAATCAATTTTCTTGTTTAAATATATAGTGTTGAAAATTTTTTTAATACATTTTGTTATCAATTTATTTTATTTATACAGGTCAATCTTTTTTAGCATATAGTACGGGATTTAATTTGCTTAGAGAGTGTGGTTTAAAATGTTTTGGTGGCATAGCCTGGCCTAAAATGTTTGTTACTGATAATGCTCAAGCAGAAATAAATGCAATTAAAAATACTTGGCCTGAAAGTGATCACTTGTTATGTATATTTCATGTTTGTCAGGCAGTTTGGCGTTGGCTTTGGGATTCCAAAAATAATATTCCTCAAAATAAGCGACCAATATTAATGAAACATTTTCAAAATATTTTGTATGCAGATACAGTAAAACTTGCTGAATATAATTTTAATAGTGCCATAAACAGTTCAGAATATCCAAAATGGACTAAATACATTACAGACCAATTTGATGGTCGTCAAAAATGGTGTTTGGCTTGGAGGAATGAGTCTAATAGAGGTCATCATACAAACAATTACTCTGAGATTACAGTACGCATATTTAAGGATACAGTACTCTCAAGAGTTAAAGCCTATAATGTTATTGCATTATTAGATTTCACTTGCACTGTGTTGGAAGAACATTACGGTAGGCGACTAATGACATTTGCCAATTGTAGAAATCCAAAAAATAGAGAAGCAAGAATTTTCTTGGACACATTAATTAAGAAGGCAAATTATGTGAAAAAAAATCAAATTATTCATAGCGCACAAAATAATTATATTGTTCCAAGTGAAAAAAATCCTTTAAGTACTTATGATGTTAATTTAGAAGCTGGTTGTTGTTCATGTTCAATTGGGAAGTATGGTAAATTTTGCAAACATCAATGTGCAGTATATATACATTATGATGAAATGTCAAACAATTTCCCTCCTGTTACTCCTCAAGATAGACATGAAATTGGTATGCTAGCCTCAGGAGATAAATCTCTAAAAATTGATTTTTTTCAACCATTTTATGTAGAGAACTATAATATTGCTCAGACTGTAGTGATCCCTGATGATGAAAGAATATAAGTTGAGAAAAATAAAAATTCTGAATATGTCCATAAATTAAATTAAATAGATAAAATGAAATCTTCTTTAAGCCACGAGATAGCAGAGGCCGACACAAATAAAGAAACTTGTAATGCTATTCAGAATATACTAAAATTAATGAAATTTAATGACACAAAGTATGGTTCATCTTCTTCTGGAATACAAACTCTTGAAGCACGATTAAAAAAAATTACAAGTGAAGGACAATGGGAGACATTCTTGCATACAGCTGGAAATGTATCGGTACCATTACGAAAGAGATCTGGTGCAAAAATGTCTGTCCAACCGACTTCTATTGCTAGGCGGTCACAAAATATTACAAGAGGAAGTAAAAGTTTACCATCAGGTCGACCAGCTAAATGTGAATCTGGTATAAAAAAAAGGAAAAGAAATCTTGGCAGTAATGTAAACGCTAACTTACCAAATGCAAAATCCCATGGACGTGGTCATTAATACATTTAAAATATATTTTTATTTTCATTCTATATTAGGTATAAGGTACCTAATTATGTTACATGTCTTTTAAAAAAATAAAAAGGGTATAATTTAAGTCCGAAAATGTTAAATTATTAAAAAAAATGTACAATTACAATATCTTTATCTTAAACCGTGTATGTGATACAATATTATGATTGATAACGCGATAATATGATAATGATTATATTAAAATTTAAAGCGGGCTATTTGAAATGAGCCAATCAGAAACGACCGGTCGTGTAGCAATGTATGGTATGTTAATATGCAACCGGGCATATAGCGGGGCACGGTATTACACCAGACGAGCAAAGACCACTCTAGTACTCTACACTCCAAGTCACAGTTTTCGCTACGGTTTAAATTTCTTTTCGAATTTCCCGTGAAACGATTTTCACTCGACCACCTCGAAGGCACCAGAGGCAGCTTCCACAACGCCCGGAATCCGAGGCACAAGGGCAGCTAGTTTATAATATAAATTATGTTGTAGAATTAAAATTTTTTTTACTGCTTTAAAATATAAAATTAAGTATCATAAATCATAATATAATTATTTTAAGGTGTTGTAATTATGACTTATAAGTTATATATATATATAGGTATGACGTGAGATGTAAAATAATTTAATTAATTCATTATTATACTCATAAATTTATCAATATACATATAATAACTATGTAGAATACAATTTCAATATATATATGGAAGTGATAGTCTCCATATTGTGAGGTACTAACTAAAAATGTGAACACATATATTTTTAGACTATTTGCGCGTTCGATTATAATTTATACTTTAATACAAACACACTATTCAAATAAATTATTTTCTAATATATTAAATATGAATAATTAAATAGGTACAGTTATAAATATAAGTTTTTATTTTATAATATCTTTACTGGGAAACATAGGCCAAATATTTTTCTTTGTGGATTATGTGAATCAAATAATAGTTTAGGAACCTTTGGTGTGTATAAGAAGTATAGTATTCTATATGTTTATTATACTTTATTCAATAATCATCATTGCATAATATAATTTTATGTAGGTATATATTTATTTTTCTAGATAAACAAAGCACCACTGTTAAACAGTTGATCATGACAAACGGAAAACGAGAATTGGACGTTAACACATCATCGATAAACCCTGGTTAGTCTATATTATATTTATTTATAGTTAAATTTTAATATAAATAAGAAATTTCTCATTTTACATAATATAATAAGATTTATTATTAATAATAACTTTAATTTTGAAAGTAATTTCTTTTTTCTTTAAGATACAGAATTTCAAAAAGAAGTCCTATATAAATTATCTTTCATCAAACATGAACTAAGGAGAATCGTGAACAACCAAATGGAATTGGGCCAAAGAATGGAGAATTTGGAGACTCAAAAATAACTATAACTCAGTAATATGCAAACAGCTGCTAATAATAATGAAAACACATATTACTCACAAGATATATCTGGCTTACCATTGAACACTATCTCAGACTTAAATGAATTTAATCAGAAATTATCTGAAGATGAAACATTTCGTAATAATTTGGTAAGTAAACAGTATTTCTTTATGGCTATATGTATAGAACATAATGTGGGTTTTTGATTTTTGGGTGCTTCTATTAAATACATAATACTTAATGTATTGAAATATAATAGCCTAAAGATATTGATACGTGTACGATTGATATTTTTTTTAAATCTGTTCTTATTAAAATGTAAAAATCTATGTATAATATTATACACAATTATATTTTTATTCATTAACCGAAGTTTAAAAAGTTAACCTATCCAGTTACTATTATACTTTTATCACTATAGATTGACTGTCAAATTGATTGATGATTAACAAACACGGTATATTAATTTTCTAAGCATATTGATTTTTTATTAACATGCACCTATAGTGAATACTATAAGTAATATTTAGTAGTATATATAATATATTTTCTTTTGTATTGTAGATAAATCAACTAACATATATAGGAGACAAACATTTTAAAGCAATGATAAAAAGGATAATGGCCAAACTCTTTACTGATGAACTCTTAAAATTGCTTTCATATTCTGGCAAAAAAGGAAAGGAAAAACAAAATTTTCCCACCAAATGATTTGTCCTATTATTTTTGATAAGATATGAATATAATATATATTATATAAAATATAACAATATATGTTTTTATTATATTATTGCTGTACATAATTTTAATATAGTGTCATTAAAATTATTTATCAGATGCTTTAAAAAGACAATAAAAATTTAATAAAAATGTAACTCAGAATGAAATGGAAGAAGTAGTGAAGTATGTCCTTGCCCAAGCTCCTTTCAACATCAAAAGACTTCAACTTAAATAATGATGAAACATTTTTTTTATTGTTTTCATTATTACTAATACAATAAGTGTAAATTTTTTTTTTTTAATTTTATTGTTTCTATAATATTAATTCTTTTATTCAAAAAGTATACTTTTATTTTTTCCATTCAATTATAAATGCAGTGGCTCTGCAATATTATAATAAATTTATTAATATTATTCGATTTTTTTTTTTTTTATTGTTTTCTTTATACACTAACACAAAAAGTGTTCATTATTTTAAAAATATTTTTTGTTAAAATATTAATCCTTTTATTTAAAAAGTATACTTTTATTTTTTCCATTAAATTATAAATGTAGTAGTTCTGCAATATTATGATAAATTTATTAATATTGTTTGATTAATTTTTTTTTTTTATTGTTTTCATTATATACTAATATTAAGTGTACTAATATAAACTTTTTTTAAAACATTTTTATTGTTTCAATATTATATCTTTATTCAAAAAATATACTTTTATTATTTTCATTCAATTGTAAATGAAGTATGGTTCTGAAATATTATAATAAGTTTATTAATATTATTTGATTGATAATTAAAAATATACTAACATTTAATAAAAGTCTGCATTATTATTTATTAAATATTAATTATTGTTTTTTTATTAAATATTGTCTTAAAAATATTTAATTAAATATTAATTATTGTTTTTTTATTAAATATTGAATTCATAATGCAAAAGGGTTCATTCAATGATCGCTATACATTGCATAAATATTTAAAAACATACTCTCAATTAAAATAAAATATTTATTAAATTATCTTAATTTATTTATTATGATGAATAAATATTTATTAAATATTGATGTGCTGTGTGGGATAAGATTCTATTATAGATATTGTTAAAATATTTTATACAAAACCTAACGTTCCAATAATTTTATTTTAACATTTATAATAATGATAACAGTAATTCTTTTTCGTAAACTGTGTGTTCTATATCATACATTTTATAATAAACAATATTTGATTACATAACTTTTTCAACTGTAAATATTTCCTTAGACCAATTTGTTTTAATTTATTTCTATATACATCAAATATTGATATAATCTAACACTTATCATCATACTTGTTAAATATTTAAATATTAATATTTAAATACTAGTATTTAAATACTTTTTCTGTATTTTAAATACTTTTAGACAGAAGTATTTCAAGTATATTTCAAATACATATTATTATATTTTGTATTTAAAAATATTAAATACAACATTTTCAAACAAGATATTATTTTATTATTTACTATTTAGTTTCGTTTATTGATTATGAAGAAATTGCTTATCGTCGATGAAAAGACATGACGATTATAAATGTTGTTATCGACAAACAAAGATATTACGGGAAAAATAATATTTCCCGTATATCATATATCTATTGACTATTTGGCTATTTATAGTTCATAGTATCATAGCATGGCGACACCCCGAATCCCAGTATCCTACATACACACACACACACACACCGTCACTCCGCACTCGTTATTTGTTAATCGTCCAGTCACTATAAGACACTATAGTTGTCAATCGTTGTAAATTGTAATATTATTGTTTGCACACTGCCGTGAGTCCTGACTATATAGAATTGTTTTAAAATACGCAGTATATTTTTAATTTTTATATTAAAGACTTAACTAGTATGGAAAATGAACTAATTCTTCCGTGGAATATTTATAATATTCATTTTAAAGTTATTAAAATAATAAATAGTTGCGAGTTGTAGACTACGTACGAAGTATCTTGCAAACATTGTATTTGTTCGAAGACGCGTACTGCTGATTCACGTGCCCCATCAAATCTTCGCAAGCATTTGAAAGTAAGTACCTAATGGATAATTCTAAATTCATATTTTTTATTAGGTACTAGGTAATTTTAACAATTTATTGTCCTGTGTGCTTTATTAGTCCTTAGATAAGTTAGATACTATAATCGTACAAATTCAGTCAAATTGTATAAAAATTAAAAGAAAAGATTAGATAAAAAAATTACCTGGTAACATTATTGGTGGTTTCACACTATGCGTTTTAGACGATTTAAAAACGCTCCGAAACGGAATGCATGAGTTTATTAGGTGCACACTAGACGCACACGACCGGATGATCATGTGTATTTATGCGCCAAATTACAAAAATTGTGATATGATTAATATGCGATATGATTGCGATTGAGATAAAATTTTCTAAATTTTGAGTTTTGACTTTTGAGTAGGTATGCAGTACGCATCGTGTTATAATTTATTACAGTTAGAATGGATTCTAATATATTATCAACATTAAACGATGCTGAGATTGTTGCTATTTTGTATCAATTAAACAAAAAAAAAACAAAAAAAATCTATAACATCAAGGCGTTATTGGGTACATCCTCTTAATATGAAAAGACCTCAAGAAGGGCAGTTTCGGGTTATTTTTTTGACTCTGAGGTCATACCCAGAAGAACTTTTAACAATTTAACATGATGATAAAGGTAGAGAATTTTATAATAAAGATTTAAAAGAAATACTAAATAAATATAACATAATAATGTATAGTACAGGTACCGATAAAAATAAGGCTTCTATAATAGAACGTTTTAACAGGACATTTGGTAAAGAAATAAAAAAAGTACTTTATAAAAATAAAGACAAAGTATGGATTTCTGAATTATCGAAGATTATTACATATAATAATATATACCATAGAACAATAAAAATGAAACCTGGTGATGTAAGTAAGAAAAACGAGGATGATCTACTTTCTACTGTTTATAATTATGATATTAGTAATTCTAAGCCTAAATTTGAAATAAATGATAAGCAATGTTGTTAAAAATACTTTTCAAAAGTATTTCAAATAGGTATTTAAATACTTCAATTAAAAAGTATTTATTTAAATACCTTTGCTAATAAATATTTAAATACAAATACAAATATATTCAAAAAGTATTTCAAATATTTTTAAAGCTTTATTATTTTCTGATTCTTTATTCTTAAAACTAATTATTTGTTTAATGTAATAATGTGTATTGAATATAGAAGACTATTGTAGGTTTATATAGAATTTCTTTATTAATAAAAAATTGTAGTTTAAAATGTATTACATTTAAGAAACAACCTTTTCAAAATGGTTGTCAGTTATTCTCCCTCTACGTTTTGTGAGTATAGCGTTGCTTACACTAAAAATTCTTTCAACAGAAGCACTGCTCGGTAACGGAGTGTTGTGTTCTATAAAAACTTTTTTAATGTTGGGTGTGTCTTCTAAAACCAATAAATTCTTCGTAGGGCTCTTATTCAAAAAACTTGATATTTCATTTTCAATGGAAATGTTGGAATTTGAATGAATTTTGGACCAAGAAAAAAATGAAGATGTTTCATCACCATGTTTATTCGTATTTTCATCATCTATGTTAGATGTCTCAATACCTTCAGACTTTGATTTTTTAAAACAGCTTCTTTGAAGTTAGCAACAGCCAAATCTTTTATAATATTATTATTTATCCACAATGTCTTAAAATATGGATGAGATAAAGCAGCAATAACTAAAAACTTATCTGCTTGTTCTTTTCGAAAGCGTGTTTCAATGCTTTTTTTGATAATATTAATTAATGTTGCACAATAATTTAATCTTGTTTTTGTAAGCAAATCATCATATTTTGATAACAATATAGAAATAGTAGGCAGTAAAAAACCAAAATACATGTTTTTTTCACCCTGTAGAATATCGAGGGCAGCTGCTAGAGGTTCCATGATAGTTACATAATCTTCCATAAAATCAATATCTTCTTTTTTAAAACGCACAACACCAATTGAGTCACACAATCTAACAGATTTTGAAAAATTCCCTTTAATATGATTCAATAAAAAGGTAATGGAATCATAAGTGGAATTCCATCTGGTTTCATTTGGTGTCACTAGATACACACCAAAACATTCTTTAATACTGTCTGCAACTTGAGTATAGCGGTTTTGTTTGTTCCATAGATTATTAGCTTTAGCAAAAGTAGCTCTACATTGCTGTTTGTAGTTCCATAGTGTTAAAGATTTACTTTTTACAGAAGCCAACTCTTTTTCTATGTCCTGAAAGTAAAAGATAAGTCATTCAGTTTAAAATTTAAATTGCTATTTGCTAGATATACATTAATATAAAAATGTTAGTTCTTACATTGGTTGCAATTAGATTCAAAGTATGCGCAGCACATCTATGATGCTTGGGTAGAATATAATCTATATCTTCTGCTTCATCAAATAGGTCTGCAATATTTACATAAGCTGTACCATCTGTATTTTCATCACTTATATCAAAATCGTCCGATTCTTCACCATCAGATAAAAGAGTGATTTATTTTCAATTGGTAAATCAACATCATTTTTTTGACCATATACTCTGAAAAAGAATATACCTAATATAGTTTACTCCAATAAAGACTGTTATTAACTATGTAACTAATAGTCCTAGTAAATAAATTATATAAAAATTTAATTCAATCTTACTTAAAACTCTTGACAAAATTTGATCCATTGTCTGTTGTTGAGAACACTATTTTATCATTTATGTCAAAAACAGTATATACTGACTCCATTGCTCTAGCCAGTACATCATAAGTATGTTTACCTTTCAAAGGTTTTATAGATAGCAAATAAGATTGGCGTTCAAATATTTTTGTATCGATCCAGTGAACAGTAATTCCTAAGTATGATCTTTTTAGAAATAAATAAAATTATGTATCAGTAATTAGTAATACAAATATAAAAATAATACAATCATACAATCATAAACGTGTATTGGCCCATAATATATTAAATTAAAAAAGTTTCCATACATTACCTTTTAATTTATAAAATGACTGCAGGAAATGTTAAATTATATGTACATCAGCATTTTTTTATCAACCAAACAATTCCTTAACAATCAATTATTTAATTTCTGATACAAATTTAGATAAAAATATCTGTCTATAAATACATTCAGTTAGAAATCCCATCTAATCAAATTATTTTCGCAATAAAAGTTTCCATACACTCATTTTTCCCGTCAGTGTACATACTATTATGAAGTTTAACGGAGTGTTTTAGTAATTTATTGTGGTCTTCCATATTTGTATACAACAAATAAGTTTTCTTTACTAATTTACTACATTAATTTAATGTTAAAGTTTTCTTTACTACGTTAACCATGGAAGTACCTACTGAAATCCGTGCATTAATTATTCGACTAAGAGAAGAAGGACAATCTTTCCGAAAAATTGCTAAAACGGTAAACAAATCACACGCGACTGTTCAATATATTGTTAACCGACAAAAAGAAATCAAAACTTTAAGCAACAGACCTCGTTCAGGTCGTCCTAGAAAATTAGATTCAAACCAACGGCGGGCAATTTTAAGAACAGTAGTAGAAAATCCCATGACTAGTGCACCAAAACTGGCGGGTATGGTTAACAAAGACTATGGAGTAAATGTAGTGCCTCAAACAGTGAGAAATGTATTGAAGAGATTTGGATACAATGGGTGTACTCCTAGGCAGAAACCATTTATAAGTGCAGTTAACAAAAGGAAACGCCTAGATTTCGCAAAATCTCATGTTGATAAGCCTACAAGTTTCTGGAATTCTGTAATTTTTTCCGATGAATCGAAATTTAATGTATTTTCATCTGATGGTAGAGGAAAAGTATGGAGAAAACCAAATGAACAATTAAAAACACAAAACTTATGCGCAACTGTTAAACATGGCGGTGGCAATGTGTTAGTATGGGGGTGTATGAGTGCATCTGGAGTAGGAAATTTAGTGGTTATAGATGGTATAATGGATCAATATATGTATTTAGATATCTTAAGAAATAATTTAAAAAGTAGTGTAGACAAATTGAGTTTGGGGAGTTCATTTATTTTTCAACAAGACAATGATCCAAAACACACGGCAAAACGTGTTAAGGAGTGGTTGATACATAATGTTCCCAAACAACTCCATACACCCCCACAGTCGCCCGATATGAACCCTATTGAACATCTATGGGATGAAATAGGAAGAAAAATTAGAACACATAATGTTCGAAATAAACAACAGTTGAAAAATGCAATTTTAACAGAATGGAATGCAATTGACCCGGATATCACTAAAAAATTAGTAAATAGTATGAAGAATCGTTTGATCGATGTTATTAAAGCAAAAGGTGGTTCTACACGTTATTAACTAAAGAAAGAAAATTGACCCAATTAATAAATTAATTAAATTAATAAATTATATTATAAGTGTATGGAAACTTTTTGGTGTATTCTCTATTTAAATATTTCTAATATGTAATTTATTATAATCATATGTTAAATAAAATATAGTTTATTTTGTTGAAATATAAAATATGTATGCTGAATAATTTGTGGTACAATTTGATGTTTTGGATCTTTTTGGATCTTTGAAATATTTACAAAAACATTTTTTGAAATAAGGTGTATGGAAACTTTTTTGATCGAGTGTATATTAAATTAAATGTATAAGTGTATTAGAATTACCTTTTGAATGTCGACCAAGCATCGGCTGTCGTTGATACAAATTCAACCAAATTCAACTTGTTCTTTAATTTATGAAAGGCAAATTTATAGCTATTATCTATACGTTTTATTAAAGTCTGGCGACATAATACATCTAGCAGGTCAGTCATCTATGTTATCCGGGTAGGCAATGTGCGGCCGGGACAGCGTCCATTGCAGTCACCGACAACGCAAAATTAAGTAATGAAATACGTGAAAAAAATTGAAAACATTTCGTAAGCAATCCGACTACCGAGTCCCCTTCCTCGACGTAATTACTCGAAAATATGTTTTGGGGTCTAGCAGGGGATCTAGGGTCTAGCGTCGGATAGCGGACAACGTGTGACTTCTGACGCAAAATTAAGTAATGGGTCACGTGCAAAATAAATGGTATATGTCTTGGTGTCTAGCGGGTCAGTCACTTTCCTCGACGTTGGACGTAGTAACCCTGGTAGGCAATCTGACTTCGTCGGATAGTGCGACGTCCGGGTCAAGGCATGAAAACGCCAAATGACGTAAATCAAATATATATAAATAATAACATTTCGGGCGCCCGTGCTAGTCGTAATATATTCCCCGTGATTTGTTGAGTGTCTAGCAAGTCGGGCGGCCAGGTTTAATAGTTTTTTTCGTTTATAGTAGTAGAGCGATTTAGAAGCGAAACTCGGTCAGCTGATTGGGATTTCGTTTCCGAATGGTCCTCCGAAAAACACGGAAACGTTTCCGCACACCGACATGATGTCAGACCCAATATCTCTCGTATCACATAATAGGCGGGAAGTTATCCGCTGATACCGAGTGGATAGACGATAAACGGTCGGTGATAAGGCCTACAGCTTTGGCGGTATTCTGTCGAAGGCGGGAATGTTTGAAAACCATGTTTGCGTGTGTATCAATAAATTCGAGTGATGGTCCTAAGGCATTATTATGATCATATGAAAAAATTTTGTAAAAATGAAATAAGAACGATGGCCAAAAGTGTAAGGTTTAATGCCGTGTTCGAATGAATAATATAAAACTATAAAATATCGATTTAATAATTTGTCAATAAAATAAATGTATTAATCGGCCGTGCGATATCGTTACCCGCATGGGTTACCTGACTTGACTCTTGTTATTGTCGCCGTTCTAAGACAAAGGACTGCGCCAAGTGCCGCCGACGTCCGACTTTAAAATCATTTCATTCAAAGTACCCGGAAAGGAAACACGTGAGTATACAATGTAATATTACTGTTATAAATATTGTATTATTAATTTAATTTGTGGCTTTTTAAAACGTTTACACCGCAGATCGTAGGTAATTTATCAATTAATATAATGTAACACATGCTTTCCGATTAACGAATTTAATATTTTATCCTAGTTAGAGCTAGTCAACATATAATATAATACCGACAGATCACTTATAGTTTCGTTTTACTATACACTTTCTTTATTGCTTTTTATTTGTCAACTTCAGAGTAACAACGTATAAAACATTAGCGGCAATTGCCAAGCGTAGGTACACGAGTACATGAGGGCCTTGTTTTTTTAACACGTTCAACGCGGATCGTATATATCAATGAATAAATTATTATAATAATATAAAAGTTTTAGTATACACTTTCTTTATTTCTTTAGAATGAGTATAATAAGATACACTGGATTGTTTTTTTAACACGTCCAACGCGGATCGTATTTATGAATTAGTAATATCTTATTATAATAATATATAAATTTGCGACGAAATTCGAGCCTTAGTTTTGTCTGCAACACATGGTTTCTGTGAAACAAATTAAATATTGTTTCTATTTTTTTTTGTTTTTAACACGTTCTGAACGTTCTCTACGCACTCACTATTTCTCACTATTCTCACTTTATTTGAGTGTGCTCACTTTTTCGCACTTATTTCATTGATTCCTCACTTTTTTCACTTTTTTAAAGATCTATAAATGTAAATAAGTGTTAAATTAAATATTCAAAATTTTTATAATTATTTATGTTTTAAGACTATTTTTAAAAATAAAAAAAATGAATTGTAGAATAAAAATCCCCGGAAAAAATCCCCAGACTACAATATTACTCATAACCTCATGAAAATGGTTGAACAAATATTTTTTAAACACTAATTAGTATCTATAATTACCACATTATTAATATTTATTTACAAATACGTATATTATATTATATTATATTATACTATATTATAATATCATTCAAAAAATTAATATACATAATACTATAATATCAGTTTCTACAGTTGTTAAATTTGTTGGTTACCTACATTTTATTTATGTTATATAATTTAGGTAGAACCAACTATTATTAATATTTAAACAAAATTGTTTTATAAGTATAATTTATAACTTGTTTATAATAAACTGAAAAAGTAAAAAACAACTGAAAATATTTTAAACTATTGTATTTTATTTTTATGTTTTTGTTTAAAAAAACTCACCTATAATATGAAAATAATACTCACTTTTTACTTGAATATAACTCACTTAATTGAAAAAAATACTCACTTTTCTCACTTTTTTTAAGAAAAAAATTAGTAGCAACCCTGCGTTCACCTCCGATGGCATTAATCAAATGATATTGTTATACCATATACATTTGCGAAGAGAACCGTATCTTAGTTAAACGAATTTAATATTTTATAATATCACCAACCTAATAATGCAGATCAATTGTTTTTTTCAACATTCTTTATTTGTTTTTATTAATTAACTTTAGAATGAGTACTTTCAATTTCACGGGGAAATACACCGTTTTTATCGGGAGAGAGGAGGACCGCGCCCGACGTAAGCATACATTTGGTTAATAATTGAAATTAGAAACGATTAAAATATTATATCTCCCCGTTTCAGAATGTTACAACTGTGGGGAAAACGGCCACCTCTCCCGGGATTGCGGTGAGTGTTTCCTTTACATATTCCTCAATAACAGTCTTAATATTATGTATATAAATTGTAAATTATATTGTAGCCAAGTCCAGAGGTGTAGGTGGTGGCCGCGGTGGTGACCGGCGGTTAGGTGGTGGCGGCGGCGACGGCAGTGGTCGTAGTGTTGGCAGGCG